ACCACATCCCTCCCTAAAGGCAGAGGAGAGGCCCATCCCACTGGTGGGCAAACTGACTCTTTGGAATATAATCTAATGGGTGGGTTGGCAATATATAAATCATGTAACAATGTTGTAACTGTTTCTTTAAAGCATTCTGGCTCCCTCTTATGGCCGATTGAGGAAATACAGCACCCAATCACATTTTACAGTATGCTTTAAAGAAACAGGTACAACATTGTTACATGATTTATATATTGCCAATCCAACCGTTAGAATTACATTCCTAACATATAAGATTTACATGAGAATCAAACTTAAGAGATACATTTGTATCCTTTCCAAATATTTGCCGATTTCCTCAATCAAGTAGGAAGGGAATCTTACTCTTTTGCTGTGAGAAAAATACTGATATTCTCTCAGTTCGCCCATTGAAGCTTCTCCTGAGGCTTCAATGTAATTAAACAACGTATATTTATACATATTAAAGATACATGAAGGAGTACATCGTGTTTTATAAAAGGCAAAACTTCCCTAGTGAAATACACAAGAAACATTTTCTCATAACCTGTGTGTGGGAAATGTTTCAGCTTGTCGTAGCTATCCATGTTCTTTCTGTCATCAGACACAAAGGTACACAGTGCCAAAAATCTATAGACAGAGGATAAAGGTTGTTAATTGCCGATAATCATGGCACATACAGTATAATCCCCTGTTCTGGCATGCATCTAGACAGTAGTTGTTGAGGCATGTTAATGGGAAGTGTTGGTTCTCACTTGCTCTCCTCTGAGTTTCTGAAAGGCATCTCGCTGGCCATGGTAGATAGACAGGACTTTTCCTGACCTAGTAAGCCAATGTCAAAATATGTTGTGTGATATTACATATGATTGGTATGGGATCCTGTCCTTTAGAGATATCTTGTCCAGCCGGGCACGGTTGTGGGCATGAAATGGGCAACCTTTCCCTGTATAGATGTTTTGAATTACTGTTTTCATTAGCTGTACACAGCATGTTGTAAGAATTGTAGTCCAACACATCAGGAGAGTTCCAAGCTGGGAAAGGATTACATGAAGAAGGCAATATTGGCACTGCACATTTTTAAACTACATGTATTCCAAGCAAATTCTCCTTCACTTGAACTTGTGACTTCATCCAAGTCATTTTTATTTTTATTCTTTTTGTAACACAATGGAAATCTTTTGCCATGTTCTCCTTCTGAAAAAGAGTTTGTTTGCTTATTTTGGTTTCCCCGATTATTCTATAGGAGCCATGAGATTTCCTAATGATCTTTCATCAAAAACATCAAAAATACAGGAATATATATATAACTATATATATATAACAACTTGGTACACAGTTGACTTACTCTCTGGAAAAAAAATATTGTGCGGATAAGACACCCCTAAAACCCCTCAGTGTGTGTGTTCTGTTAAGATACAGCCTGTTGTGCCTTAAAATGGATTCTACTGTACTGTCATAAAATGGCTTCTACTGTGCAGCACAGTGGAGTTGCCATGGTAACGGTTTCACAGTACTCCACAAAGGTGCTCTCTCTGAAATTATGTTTAGCTAGACATTTTCCCCCTATGAATAAATACCCGGGCAATACCAGGTTATAGGCTAGTATATAATATCAGCCTACACGTATCTTAGGCTGATCTGGGGTGGTATCACATATCTTCAGTTACTCTGGGGCTGTATCACCTTGCCATAGGCTCACGCTCCCCTTCATGGTTAGTTTTCTTAATTTCTGTAGAACTGCTTTGATGCTGGCCTGTGAAGCTGGAAACCTGAGCATTGCCGAAATCCTAATCCAAAAGGGGGCAGAAATAAATTTGGCAGATGCCCTTGGACACAATGCCCTACATTACTCCATGCTTTCTGAAAATACAGGAATTCAGCGTCTCCTTCAATCCAAAATGGTTCAAGATGCTGGTATGTGGATGCTTCTTAAATACTTCCTAAAATATACAATGAGGCCATATAGGTAGTGTATAGAGTGCAGTCCCATTGCTCCCACTGTCATGTGATCACCACTTATGAACTTCTGCTGGCTTCCCCACTGACTACTAGTCAAAGACTAGCATTGAAGGTCACAAATGGCAAACCCTTGACCACAGGATGCCGCTTGCAATGTTGTAATTGCAAGCCAGTTGCCAAGCACCCAAATTGTAATCTAATGACTGTGAAAACGATGGTTACAACTATGAAGATTTTATGTCTAGTGAACATACTTAGTTATGTATCTTCCCCCCTCCCCTTTGTCTGGAAGGTGACTCTTTTAGCTTTTAATCTGTCTGCCTCTTCGTTCCTCCACCCTTTTCTAATTCTTCTGACCAATTCCTCTTCCTTCCTGTTGCAGAGGGGTTCTTCTCCCCCTCCCTCCCCCCCCCAAATTCAATATTTTAAATATTTAATAGGCCCATTAAGAATGTCTCTTGTTAATTTTTCTTTTTTGTACTGTGCTTTTAAAGTCTGTTTAAGCTGAGGTAGCTCTGCATCTGCAGATAAACTTAAGCTGTCTTTTTTTTTTTTCAAAAGAAAAAAAAACCTTGTTAGTCTGTCTGACAGAAGAAAAGATGCTGACTCAGCCATCTTAGGTATCTACATAAATCTTCTTTGTTGTACAGTGGAGTAATTAAATGCCATGGAGTACGGTGTGTGTCTAGTGTTATACTTGGATTGCTTCTTCCTTCACACTCTCAGTGTGCATAATAAAATAGTCAAGGCTTGAAAATATAAATGTAAGTAGGATTTTTTTACACATCTGGTGTAAATTATCGATGTGATTCCAAACAGGTGTCTATATGATATGGTTAAAAAAATAGTCAAAGAGAAACCATAAAGTTAAAGTTCTACCTGTCTCATATGTGCATTGCACCTCTGTAGCTTCTATCTTGATTTTTTTTTTGAACATATCCTGTGGACCCCCAACTCCAAACGTCTCCATTTGCACCTCAAGTTATACTGAAATCAGGAAATTGACTAAAATAATGCTAAGCTTAGGGCCGTGATGGTAAACTATGGCATGTGTGCCAGAGGTAGCAAAAGCCCGTTTTGGGGGCATTTTCAGACTGTTTTTAGGCTTTTGGGCCGTTTTTTAGGTCATTTTCAGGCTGTTTTTCAGGCAATAGTTCCGGGTGTTTTTTGGGGAGTTTTCCGGCCATTTTCAGGCTGTTTTTCCGGCTGTTTTCCGGCCATTTTTTGGGGCCATTTTCAGGCTGTTTTGGGAGCCGTTTTCAGTCTGGATTTTGGGGGGCATTTTTTGTGTTGTTTTCAGGCTGTTTTTGAGCCATTTTGGGCAGTTTTCAGGCCATTTTTAGGTTGTTTTTTGGACCGCTTTCTGGCCTTTTGGGGGCCATTTTCAAACAGTTTTGGGGCCTTTTTTGGGGCAGCATTTTCAGACTGTTTTTCAGACTGTTTTCAGGCCAGTTTTGGACTGTTTTCAGGCCATTTTGGGGGGCATTTTCAGGCTGTTTGTTGGGCAGTTTTGAGGCCATTTTGGGGGCAGTTTTCAGGCTGTTCTTTGGGTTTTTTCCCTTTTGACCCAAAAACGGCCCCAAAAACGGTCTGACAACTGCCAAAACCAGCCAAAAAACAGGCATGCACATGCCAGCCAGCTGGTCTTCGGGGCTCTGGCGCACACACATGCATGCACATTCCAGTTTGGCCACTCTGTGCCGAAAAGGTTCGCCATCAGCGGCTTAGGGTGTTGGTTTATGTGTCTTAGCTATCTCAATCAATTTAAATGGAGTCTTTCTTTTCTACAGATGCCAAGTCACCAATCAAGTCAAAGCAGGTAAACAAGAAAGAAAGAAAGAGAGTGGCTTAATAAAGATAAATTTTACATTTAGCATAAACAAATGCCTAAGAATTAAAATTATGCTGAAAAATTATTTGTAGCTTTATAGAGCTTTGGGAAATTTACCCAACGTGTGTGTTAAATGATTGTGTGAGTCTCCCATCTCTCAGTCAAAATGGGACAGTTTCACTGGAACTGGCAAAAGAAACAGCCTAGGCATTTAACCATCTTTTGCAGCTGGAAGATCCTTATTGTAGATTTTCCACGCTGTGAAAGTTTTGTGGAAGACTTGGGATATGTAGAAGTCATCCTTTTGAAGAAGGCTGTTTTAACCCATTTGGACTTTATTACCCATTTGTAATAAAGTTTGGGGGGGGGAAACATATTCTAATCTCCTTGCAGTCAAGCTGGAGGAGGAAGCAGAATGGGAGTTTCACACTTGTTCACATAACAAATAAACTATAATCCACTTGGCTTAATGATGCTTAGAAACCATTTCAATGTAACAAGCCTAAAGTCCTGAAGCAGCTCCTCAAGCTTTATTGGCTTTCAGGGACGTATTTGAGCAATTGTAAGAAGTTGCAGGAAATGGTCTTGTTTGCTTTGAAAGTCAGGTAGAGCTTCTAAAATAGGGCTGGTATCAGTTACATCCAATTGTGGCATTTATAAATTATTGGTTTGCTATGTTGAGTTCCTCCATTCCTATTTCATGGATTCCAAATTTACAGAAGGCTTGGAAGGCAGAGATGGAAGAAGATGGTGGGTGATAGATGATTTGGACTGCAGAATGTTCCAGTTATATATTTTGCATAGATATAGATATAAATAAAAGCAGAATGATCCAAGAGACTCCACACACAAAAAAAAAAAGGCTCAGGAACAGAATTGAGAGAATATAGTCTGTCTGTATCTTTCTGTCTATCCTGGACAGACAAGGCAGGGATCAGGAGGTTTGACAAATGGCTCGAGGCTGTGAATAGCCTCTGAAAACATGGCCCAGTAGGGAGGGGGTGTGCCTTAATTGACTTCATCGAAATGCACAGAGGCCTGAATTTAAAAAGGAAGCGGGATGAGCTCATGCTCAAGCATGTGTCACATCCTCACAGCAGTAAGGCAAGGCGTGAATGTGTGTGCGTTTTTAATGTCGTTGAATAACTTGTTAACACAATCCTTACTAACAAACTAACAGACCTCCCTTTTCTGGCCTGTGAAACTTCCAGCATGATCAAGCCTCTAAATTAAGTTCAGAAAGAAGTGGAACTCCAAAAAAACGCAAAGCCCCTCCACCTCCTCCCATCAGCCCTATCCAGGTAAACAACCAAGTCCAGCTTGAACGGGTTGCTATGTATAGAGAGGGAGGGGTGGTGGAGGAATGTCCTGTTGGGGATTGATCTGGTTAAATTTGCTTGGTGCAAATCCCTCTCTCTCTCTCTTAAATATGTGAGTCTCATGTATCATGAGTGAATTCTCATCAGAATAGAAATAGGACGGCCTGTTGTTGTGAGGGGGGGGGGAATCACACATTAATTGCTACTTTGCAGAGAGAGAGTAGTTGAGATGGGACAGGAACCTAAGTTTAGACTACGGGAGCTTATAAGAGTGCTATTGGCTTGCCTTTTAACCATCAGCTGAAGTTTGCTCTTAGACATGCATAAGCAGCTTTGCACATGGGAGCCCATGGCGTTTTAACCAAAAGTTTAATATTAAACTGAGTGGTTGCTCAGGCGATTGTTTAACTGCATGCCTGCAAACAATGAGGGCTGTTTAGTCCTGCTTATCTCCAACTAACAGAGAATGATGACTTCTGCGAGCCAGAGGAAGTTTGTGTCCCTAAAATGCATCCATCTCTTCCAGCTTGCTGACCGTTCTTCATCGCAGGCAACAACTTCAACCCCAGCATCTGGGAAAAGCCAGCTCTTCGCCCAACAAGGATCCAAGGTATAACTGGCTGGTTATTTTTTCAGTCTTGCTTGAAAGGAAATATGAACATCGCCCTGTTTGTAGGGCGGCCTCTCCTATTGGGCTTTCCAGATATATTGGTTGCCCCCTAGGAGTGAGTTGTGTGCTCAGCATATTTGAGGAACACCTGATTGTGGAATGCTGTTGTAGAGGATTGAGCGATGTGAAAGAGTATTTACCGTATTTTTCGGTATATAGGACGCACCCTTTTCCCTCAAAAAAGAGGCTGAAAACCTGGGTGTGTCTTATACACTGAATACAGCATTTTTTGCCTCCAGAAACCCCGCCCCCTTCACCAAAATGGCCGTGCATAGCCTTTAGGAGGCATTCAGAGTGCTCCTGGGTGCTGGGGAGGGCAGAAATGAGCGAGAAATGGACCATTTTTTGCTCAGTTCGCCCCCAAGTTCCCAGGAGCACTCTATAAGCCTCCTAAAAGCTATGCATGCCCTTTTCTTAAAAAAAACCCAGGCCGTTTTTTTTGGGCGGGGGTCTGCAGAGTGCAAAAACTTTTTTTTAATTTGCCTCTTCAAAATCTTGGTGTGTTTTATACTCCAAAAAATACAGTAATTAGCTCAAGTTGGGGAGAAGTTTGCTGTTGTGCAAGGCGCCTGCACAGAAATAGATAAAAGTAGAGAATTCTACTCTCCAATAGACTCTGAAATGTTACCTGTGCATGAAGTTAAATGAGTCACTTAAGGCTACAATGGGACATTACCTGTGGGAGGATGGCCACACATCAAATGGGCTAATGGAATTTCCTTCAAAGGGGCACTAATGACAACATCCACTGCACAAATCCATGTGAATTCACAACGTGGCTTAGCTAAGAGCAAGAAGCATCTCAAGTATTTTTAATCAGCTGGCTTTTAAGATTACTTTGGCTAGCATATTTCCTCCGGCAGTGAAAAGAAAAAAAAAATTAAAGTGACATTTTGTCTAAATAATGTTGCTTATTAAGCAATGAATTTTACACTTTCTTCATTTTCTTCTACACTTTTCCTTGCCAATTTTGTCGTTATTTATTGAAAGCACTTCTACCCCAACTTTGTCTACTAAATATCCAAGATATTTAGCTGAAGTACATAAGAACGGCCCGCCCAACCCATTCACCAATGCAACACCGGTTCCAAGAACTCCATTGGTCACTGCTTTGGTTCTAGATGTAAATTGGGGCGCTGGTTGTCATCTTTAAACTTCTAAATGGCTCAGGACCCGGCTAAGGCCCAGTAAGATCTAGTAGGGAGGTTATTCTTTGAGCCTCATCTCTGCAGAGTCTTAGCATCAGAGGCCACCAAGATACTGTATATTCTTTGCACTGCTGCCTCCCTCCTTTGGAACTGTGTTCCTGTCAACATCAGATTAGCACCAACCCTGCTGAGCACTTGCTAAATCTCTAAGACCTGGCTATTTTGGAAAGTTTAGGAGTGGTAGAATGGTGAATCCCCATCCCGTAGTAGGTGATTGGTTATTAACTGAGAGTTGTTACTCAGCAAGATGAAAGTGATTATTGTTGTAATAATTGTTTGTTTTGAGTCCATTTATAGTTATTTAATCTTTTCTTATGGTATTGGAATGTGAGCTTCTTAGAGACGTCTCAAGACTGAAGTGGTACATAAACTTTAAATAAAAAAACAGCAACTAAATTATAGCAAACAATTTATGATGTGTAGATATGTGTACATGTAACCAGTCAAACATCTGCCACTTTACCAATTATTGTTGAAAAGATGGTTTTATGGTTGTTTATTTCAAGTGGAGCATTCCACTTGAAAGATATTTGAGCTTATTAATGAGTAGTTTGGTGGGACTTGCTTCTTGTTTTTAATCCAATCATGGTTTATTTGTCTTTCAACAGGAAGACACCAGTGCTATTCACTCTGATTGCAAAGATGGGTTAAGTGAGAGCACTGCAGGTAAAGTGGAAGGAAAGGTGTGAGGGTGATTTTCTCCATTTCTTTCTATGGTTAAAGTTTCCTTCTAAAAACCAAACTCTTAATATTGTTACTGTACATCATGTGCTATGGCCATAGTAGAATTAACCTTTGCCATTTCTCTGCAAGGAGGCACTGTTTGTGTTGACTCCTTTTGTCATGACAACTCTATGGAAGGGATTCCATTATTTCCCCATAGACTTTATTGATTTAAGTTGGTTTGGTTCTTGGACTCTCCCCTGTTTGAATTCCTAAATGTCACTGATTGTGCCTTCCCAACCAAGGACTGCCAACAAAAGTGGGTATAGTCTAGGCGATGGTTTTCCCAGTTGCAATGTACGGCTATGAAAGTTGGACCATAAGGAAGGCTGAGGGCCAAAGAATTGAAGCCTTTGAACTATGATGCTGGAGAAGACTCCTGCAAGTCCCTTGGACTGCAAGGCGATCAAACTAGTCAGTCCAAGAGGAGATCAAAACTGATTGCTCTTTAGAAAGCCACATCCTGAAGATGAAATTCAAATACTTTGGCCACCTAATGAGAAGGAAGGACTCACTGGAGAAGAGCCTAATGCTGGGAAAGATTGAGGGCAAAAAAAGGGGACGACAGAGAATGAGGTGGTTGGATGTAGTCACCAAAGCAGTAGGTGTGAGCTTGAATGGACTCAGGAGGATGGTAGAGGACAGAAAGCCCTGGAGCAACGTTGTCCATGGGGTTGCGATAGGTTGGACACAACGTCGCAACTGAGAACAACAAACCAAGGACCATTAAACAATTGAGCTTGTAGAAGAAAGAAGTCCTGGAGTCAAAATACTAAAACTAAAATTGTTTTGATTTTTAATTTATATCATTTAGCTTAAATTAAAATTAAGTAGACCGAATGCCATTAATATGAGTGCACTCATAATTTGCTCCTGTCATAATTTTATGTTATAATTTGACACTAAATCTAAATTCCAATTTAGTATGCTCTCTCTTAGCTTAGCTTCAACTCCAACAACAACCTGTTGTTTTACCCGAGTTTACTTTTCTAGAATTTTTTGGTGGTGGTGGTGTCTCAAAGTCATAGATTTCAGATTTATAGATTTCCAGATTCACATAGTTCATTAAAATACTTTCCAGAAGCTCTAACTGCCAAACAGTTTTGTGAGACTTTGCCAAAATTGATTAGCTAGTAAAAGATAATTGTCTATTTTCACTTAGAAGGTTTGCTAAGTAGATGTTATAGAATTGTAGCCGCATTGAATATTCAAATCATATATGTGCTTTTCCCCCCTTATTTTTCCCCTTTTCTTTTTTTAAAGGTGCTAGTATATTGGATGTGAGTTCAGGAATAGAACAGCAAGATTTACTCATGATGTTGCAAGGAAAAGTTGCTTCTTTAACATTACAAAATAAGAAATTGCAAGAAAAACTTCAGGTATTTGTTCAGCAATAGCTTCTAGTAGCACAAAACTGGTGTCTTCAACAAAGGATGTCAGTGCTGCAATCAAAAAATATTAAACTGAAATCTGAAGGATACAAAATGAATTTGTGCAGCTGATTTAAGAAATTATATGGGATTGGGAAAAAAATTCTGATCCATCAGTTGGTCCATACAACAAATGGAAGCCAAATCAGAGTTCCTCTAGTAAAGCCCCCATTCCCTCCCTGACAAATAACCCACAATTATGGATTATTTGTGTATATCAGGGGTGTCAAATTCAATTTCATTGAGGGCCACATCAGGGTTGTGTTTGACCTTGGGGGGGGGGGCATGGCCAGCTTGACATCACTTGTGTCAGGGGCGATGGTGCCTGTGGTGGCCTGAGCACTCTGTCAGCAAAAACGGGCTCCCAAGCTCCATTTTTGGCGGCGATGGCCTCCTGCAGGGGCCCTCTGAACTTCCTTTTCAGTGGCAGAGGGCTGCAGAAGGCTGTCGCGGCTGAAAACGGAGCGTGGAAGGGCCGCGCATGGCCCTCCCGAGTTCCATTTTTGTTGGCAGAGGCACCATCGGCTGGTCTCTTGCTCTTTCCAGGGTGACCCCATGGGCCAGATTTAAGCACCCGTGGGCTGGATCCAGCCCCCAGGCCTTGAGCTGGTGTATATGATTCATGTCACCCTTTTCTTTCTGAAAAGCAGAAGGTAGCTTGGGTGAGAATCTCCTTTCATATTGCCCTTACAACAACAAAGAGCTGAGAGAGAGAGAGACTGTTTGGCTCAAAAATCATCCAGTGAGCTTCCTTGGCTGAGGTTGGGCATGGGCTTGAACTTGGATCTCTCCACTACATATTGACACCTTTACTACTACCCACACTGGGGCAACTCTTCTCCATTCTCTGTGCAACTGCAAGTGGAAAGCAAATGGATGCTTACTTGCTCCTACAGAGGGGAAGCATTTTTCTCCATGAAGCAAGTAGCTTGAAAATCATCCTTTTCCGCCCCGCCCTGCAAAGAGAAATTCATTTTCCTCTGTTAGACCAAGCAGAAGCAGCATCTCTTTCCTTTTAGCAACATGGAGATGTGCTCCATGCAAGATCCGGTGGGAGAAACCTGGTCCTCTACTTTGGCATCCACACGTTTGTTTCCTTTCTATGCACTAGCAGATATATTGCTTCTCTCTACTACTTCATGGAGAAACACAGGGCGGATATACTGTATTTTTCAGACCTATAAGACACACCTAGATTTACAGGACAAAAACAAGAAAAAAATAGTTTGTGGCCTCCACGTGTTCATGTTTTTGCCCTCCCTGGCCCCCAGAAGCACTCTGCAGTGCTCCACGTGGCCTGTTTTCAACAAAAAAAACAGGCCCATTTTTGCCAAAACGCACTCGTTTTTGGCCTTCAGAATGCTTCTGGGGGCCGGGGAGGGCGAAAACGAGATGCACAGAGGGTTTGGGAGCCCAAAAATGGACCCATTTTGGCAAAAACGGGCCATGAGGAACACTGCAGAGGGCTTCTAGGGGCTGGGTAGGGTGAAACTGCGACACACAGAGGGTTCGGGAGGCCAAAAACACCCATATTCGGTCTATAAGACGCACCTAAATTTTTACCCACTTTTGTAGAGGGGAGAAAGTGCGTCTTATACTCCGAAAATACGGCATGTGTTTTTGTGTCTTGGGGTATGTGACTTAGCCTTATTAAAAGCCCACCATGACATCACCTGGAACACATTCAGATTCCATCCCCTCTTCTGTGTCCTCATGTTTGTGGTTTAGGCAGTCAGTATCGTTATCGTCAATCTGATTCTGAAATCAGAAATACAATCCAGACTTGTATTTGGAAATGGAACTCTTGGGACCAGCCACACCACAACATCATCCTTCTGGCAGAAGCAGAGGGGTGGAGGGAGAGGTTTGCTGGTTGAATGGAAATCCAATGTTGACCCAGTAATGATCAAAGAGGGGAGGGAAAAATGTAGCTCCTTGTCTTCTGGATGGGGAAGGAATTCTTGGATTACATTGGAATTAGATTGTGAAATACTGCCCTCTTCTGTCTCTGCAGGCAAGGACCTTCAAAACAGAAGATACCGACACTACAATGGAGTCTTCTTGTTCCACAAACACAGAATTTGGTGCTTTGACTAATAGGCTGAGTGAAGACTCAACAGTAGCAGCCGAGGAGATAAGCACATCTCCTCTGATCCTGGCACAGGCTCAGGAAGAAGCAGGCCTTAATGAATTAAAAATTAAACAGTTACAAGAAAGCTTAGAAGAAGTCCAGAAGAGACTAGATAGTTCGGAAGCAAAGAGATTGCACTTGGAGTCACAGCTTCAGTCTACTGTGCTGGAGGAGGGGAGTCCTTTGTTAAACAGCTCCGAAATTTCAGAGAATGGCACCGACCTCAGCCAGAAACTCAAAGAATCTCAACTCAAATACGAAGAAGCGGTGAAGGAGATGCTGCATGTCCAGAGACAAATGAAACTGGACCTGGTAACTTCAGAAAGCAAAGAGCCCAACCTGCAGGAGGTCAAAACGACCTGTGAAGAAGTTGAGCTCCTGAAGGAGAAGCTGAAGAAAGCTCAAGAAGATGATGAAATGCTGAAAGTGAAGGTGAAGGAACTAGAAGTAAAGCTAGAAGAAAGGGAGAGAAAAGCAGCTGGTATCGTGTCTGTGGAGGAATGTGAGGAGATGAAGAAGTCTTATTGTTCAGTCATTGAAAATATCAACCAGGAGAAGATGTTGCTGATTGAGAAATATAAGGAAGGACAGGACAAAATCAAAAAGCTTCAAGACAGGCTGAAGGCTCAGATGGAATTAGGGCAGAGTGATGAAGCTGAAGAGGTGAAGGATGCCAAGAACCAAATGATCAACGAACTCAACAGGCAGGTTAGTGAACTTTCTCAAATGTACAAAGAAGCCCAGGCAGAACTTGAAGATTGCAGGAAGAAAAGCACTCCAGAAGATCTGAGTTCAGGATACATACCTCTGGAGGAATATGAGAAGCTAATGGAGGCCACCGTCTCACAGAGGGAGCAAGCAGAACAGGCTTTGTTGGAAATGAAGACACAGTACACCAACGTGCTGAGTGAAATGACACAACTCCAGAACTTGGTTGACACTCAAAAGAAGAATTCTGTCTCCCTCACAGAACATCTTCAAGTAGTTACTGCTCTCCAGGCCTCAGTGAATGAAGTGGAAGAAGAAATAAATGCACTCAAAGAGCAGATCCTTCAAAAAGAGAGTGAAGTGCAGCGTCTGCAGAAGGAGTTGTTAGAAGAAGAAGCTGCGGTGTGTGAAGCCATGGTGCCTAGAGTATTGTACGAAGAGCTTCGGACTTCTTCAGAAAATGAGGTCAACTCCTTGTCATCCAAACTGAAGGATCTGTTGAAGGAGAAGGACACTTTGTCTGCTGATCTTGCCCAGTTGAGGAAGGAGATCACCCAGGTGAAGGGGGAGAAGGAGAACCTCCAAGCTCTTCTCCAAGCCAAGGAAGAAGAGATCAAAGGACTACTTCATCAATATCACAAGTCTCAAGAAGAACTCCTCAAAATGAAAAAAGCTTCTGAGAGTGCCTTAAAAATGGATGAAGACAAAGATAAAAAGGTTAGTTGTTCTGATATCCCTATCGGGATTGGCTGGGTTTCCCGTGGTCCAAATGCGCCCCCCGAAAGCATCTTCTTCCACTGATTACTTGAAAGATATTACTGCGCTAGATTCGTCATTGCCCATGGTGGGATTCAACCGGTGTGACAGCTGGTTCGCTGAGCATGCGCGCCAAACACACGCTCCCCGTGTGTGCAGTGCCTTTGAAAACAACTCAAAAACTTACCTTCTACTGCAGCCTTGGTGAGTAAAACAGCTGAGGCGCAGCAATCCGCTCTGCCGCCCCTATCAACTTCAAACAAAGGGAATATAGGTCAGTATAAAGCAGGGGAAAGTGGGTGGGCCCACCTGATCGTTGGAGCGAACTGGTTCCCTCTCAGCTGATTGTCAGAGCTGCCGTTTCGCCCAAACTGGTCCGAACCGGCTGAATCCCACCCCTTGTCATTGCAGAATCCTGGCCTAGGCTCAAATCCTTTGGCTTTTTTATGTTTCCAATAACAGAATCATGATGTAAATGCAGAAATGGTTTCCTATGTTCCAAGATGGTTTTTGTACAGGATCTCTTGCATGAAGTTATTTCAGGGAGTTTGAAGAAATAGTCCTTCATCTCCCTGTGTGGGTTTTTTTTTTAAATAGAAAAATCAGGCTGCAAAAGGTGATTGGTGCAACCATCATCAATACAGGCCAGTTGCCAAGCTCTCCTTATCATGTGACCCAGGTGGGGATGGATGCAGTAATGTCTATAAGCATAAGGACCCGTTGTCACTTTTTTCAGTGCTGCTGTAACTTCAGACAGTCATTAAACAAATGGTTGTAAGTCGAGGGCTACCTTTGCATTATGATTAAACGTACCATCTGAATCAAAATGATGGTGATGACGAAGGCTGTTTTCCCACCTTTAAAGCAAGAACTCACCAGTGTCAGGACTTGGATGTACTCTGGAATAATGAAGGTTTTTTTTCCCCTTTTATAGATAACAGACATGTCTAAGGAAGTTACCAAGTTAAAGGAAGCATTGAACAGTCTTTCCCAGCTGTCTTACTCAACTGGTACACCTAAACGACAAAGTCAGCAGCTGGAGCTGTTGCAGCAGCAAGTGAAGCAGTTACAGAACCAACTGGCTGTAAGTTTATAACTTCCTTATGTACACAATTGCATATTTTTGTAGTTGGGGACCAGGATTCTCCTTGGGATGAAACCAAGGGTCAAATCTACTTACCTTCGCTACCCGTTGGCAAATGTGAACGTGTGCGCCTTGCTCAAACGCACCACCTTCGCATATGTGCAGGACTTTCCAGGCATCCACGGTGTCAAAAACGGAGGTGGTGACGTCCGGGTGGGTGGGCAGAGCCTGCTACCAAGGGCGCCTGCAAAGGTAAGCAGAACAGAGGGGGGGGGGGAATCCGCTGTGCCATTGATTTAGATTAGCTAGAAAACAGGAAATTCTGTGCTTCACAGCTGATCGTTGGAAATACTGGCTTGCCTGAACTGGTAGCATTTTTTATTATCGGTTTGGGCGAACTGGTCCAAACCAGTAGCATTTCACCCCTGGATGAAAGTGGATACAAGTACTCCTTGTTTTTTTTATTGTATAGGTAGACCTTGACTTACGACCACAACTGAGCTCAAAATTTATGTCGTTAAGTGAGACATTTGCTAAGTGAGCTTTGCTTCATTTTATGACCTTTTATGCCACAGTTGTTAAGTGAAGCCCTTCAGTTGTTAAGTTAGTAATGTGGTTGTTAAGTGAAGCTGGTTTCGCCCTTGACTTTGCTTCTCAGAAGGGCGCAAAAAGGGGATCGCATACGCCCAGGACACTGCAAAGGTCAGAAGTATCACCACATATCTGCAGTTTGATTTCATCATGGGGATGCTGCAAAGGTCATAACTGTGAAAAATGGTCATGTCCCTTTTTTCATTGCCATTGTAATTTTGAACGGTCACTAAATGAACTCTTGTCAGTCAAGGACTACCTTTAATTGAGTCTGGAATTACAGTTGTAAGCTGTGCTGGTTGTTAAGCAGATCCGATTTTTATTGTGGCAGTCATTAAGTGAATCAGTGTGATTGTTCAGTGGTTGTTAAATGAACAACATAGTCATTAAATGAATCCATTGTCCGCAATGGACCTTTTTTGCAGGAAACCAAAACAGGGCGTGAAGGGCCCCGTGTGCATCCCCCACATCCCTCTTTTCGACTTGGATGTCCTCTAGCACCCTGCTGGCCAAAATAGGTCACTGCAGGGGGGTGGGCTGCATGCAGCCTTTCCCGCAGCCCGTTTTGGCTGGCAAAGTGCTGAAGGAGGTGTTCATCCCTTCTCTTCTCCCTTCCAGCCAACCTGTGGAGGAGAAGTACAGTGCTGATCCAGCCCTCGAAGAAATCCAGTTTGATACCCCTGCTGTAATCCAAACTATTTTCCATTTTGCTCAATCAAGTCTGGGATTCTTTCCCTAGGGTGGAAGCTGGGAATATCTGGGATATGGACAGAGGCAACTATACCCTTGCATTGCTATCCTCAATGTACCTGTGGCAGATTATGTCTTGTGTGAATTAGTATCACTTTCCGTTTTACATTATCTTCTTAGACAACTACATCCATGTTCCATTAGAATTCTAGTGCATGCTTGTTCATTTGTTGATTGATCATCTTTTTTTTTATTACAGGAAACAAAGAAGCAACATCAGGAGATAGTTTCTGTCTACAGAACACACCTGCTTTATGCAGTGCAGGTGAGAGGCTCTTTCCTTCAGTTCTCCTTGTATTTCTTTCAGGACCATCATCAGTTGGTTAAAGAAAGCTGTGGACTTGTATTTGTAGAGTCGTTGGTGCTCTATGAGTTTGGTTGGTTTTCTTTTCGCAGACATTTCATTACCCAACTAGGTAACATATTCAGTTTATGTAGGTAAACCTCCATCAGGGTACAGTTATCCTTTCTACATGAATGCCTACAACAGCAAGCCCCGTTGCACTGAAGGTGTTACCTAGTTGGGTAGTGAAGCATCTGCCAAGAAAACTACCAAGCTCACAGAGCACCCAGGACTCCACACTTCGACCCTGAGTTATAAATATTGTCTTGTGTTGATTATATATTTGCATACGATTGTTAACAATGGATAGTACAGGAAATGGAAATCAATCTGAATAGAGCTGGAAGGGACCTTGGAGGTCTTCTAGTCCAGCCCCCTGCTCAAGCAGGAGACCCTATACTAAATCAGATAAGTACTCTTTTCTTAAAAACCTCCAGTGATGAAACACCCACAACATCTGAAGGCAAGCTATTCCACTGATGAATTGTTCTCACTGTTAGGAAGTTTCTCCTTAATTCCAGGTTGCTTCTCTCTTCGGTTAGTTTTCATCCATTGTATCTTGTCTTCTGGTGCTTTGGAAAAATAAGTTGATCCCCTCTTCTTTGTGGCAGCCCCTCAAATTCTGGAATACTGTTATCATGTCACTCTTAGTCTCCACTAGCCATACCCAGTTCATGCAATCATTCTTCATAGATTTTAGTCTCCAGGCCTTTAATCATCCTAGTTGCTCTTCTCTGCACTTTTTCCAAAGTCTCAACATCTTTTTCGCAATGTGACCAAAACTGGATGCAGTATTCCAGGTGTGGTCTTACTAAGGTTTATTAATACTAATAAATGCTTCAGGAAGACACATTGCGCAGAGCTGTTTTGTGAGAATGAATGTCTCTTCTAAGTTGGTCTGGCCAAATTGTTGTTAATGAGGGGTAACTGTAATTTGACTAAAGAAATATACGTAATCATTTTACCTGGAATGATTGAGTAAAGATTGCCATCTCAACGCATGTGTTTACAAAGGACAACATTTTAACCTGCGTAACAGAGTGACAAATGTTTATAATTGAGACCTTAGAGCAGTGTTTCTCAACCTTGGTGACTTTAAGTCCTGTGGACTTCAACTCCCAGAATCCCCCAGCCAGCACAGCTGGCTGGGGGATTCTGGGAGTTGA